GGAAATGCCCAAATTGCCCCCCCCCCCCTCCCATCCTCATGAAGCCACCCTGGATCTGCCTACAGTTTTAAATTATAGTTATTCCAGTTCCAAATAGTGTATTTATATTGACATGTTAAAGCAAGGACCCAAAGGAAATCCCGTGGGGAGCCGATGGCGCAGAGTTTGTCGTCGAATCGACTGGGGTGTTCACGACCACCGAGAAAGCCAGTGCCCACTTAAAAGGCGGCGCCAAGAAAGTCATCATTTCGGCGCCATCTGCTGATGCGCCAATGTTTGTGATGGGTGTCAACAATGATAAATATGATAAAAGCACCAACCACGTCATCTCGAACGCCTCCTGCACCACGAACTGCTTGGCACCACTTGCTAAGGTACGTGAATATTTGGTTAATGTTACAACGAGCGCACTTACGGTCGTTTGATATTCTGATTTTGGCAAAATTTCCCATTCTGGGCGACTCTCAGACGTCAAGTCGGTGCCAGTTCCCATCTCCTTCGTAGGGACAAAGGTCAGGAGGGAATCGAATTCCTCAGCTTTGCAATTTGCAGTTGTTTGCTGTTACACTACTGACAGGTACGCTCTACTTCTAGGAACTGGCGCATTTAAATCTATAGGTAACAGCACTCGTACACGTACACTTTGTAATGTCTACTTCAGACAACCACAGGCTGTTGCTATTCCAAGCAGCCTATAATTTGTGCCATTTTTGCTGACTTTTAGCGGGAAGTCTACGATAATTTTCTCGAAAAAGTGACAAAGCATCTTTGATAATCATGATAGAAACAGAGTGTACGACATTATCAAAAGTAATTCCAACAGGATATTAAAGAGTATCGCTCCTTCAGTGAAAAGCTTTCCAGGTGATTCACGACAACTTTGGAATCATTGAGGGCTTGATGACCACTGTGCATGCGACAACTGCCACCCAAAAGACTGTCGATGGACCATCGGGCAAGCAGTGGCGTGATGGTCGTGGCGCTGGCCAGAACATCATTCCAGCATCCACTGGTGCTGCCAAAGCTGTCGGGAAAGTAGGTTTCTCAGTACTTGACAAACTGGTTTGTGATTAAAACGTCAAAATTTTGAGCAAAAGCAGTACAGTACTAATCGAAAGGCACTAAAACTGTGGAAAGATCTCTTGGCACTTTTTTATTACAGCACTCAAAACTCAATGCTTCCAGGTTATTCCAGCTCTCAATGGCAAACTTACTGGCATGGCTTTCCGCGTGCCCACTCCGGATGTCTCGGTCGTTGATTTGACTTGCCGCCTTGAGAAGGGAGCAAGCATGGATGATATAAAAGCGGCCGTAAAGGCAGCTGCTGCGGGTCCAATGAAAGGAATCCTTGAATACACCGAGGACGAGGTACATTATTCCAGACTTTTGCTCAGCTTTGAAACTGTGATTAGCTGCTGCTTCATGTCGTATTTGATGCGGCTGCCAAATTCTCTTTTCTATGCCACCTTGAGCTTTTTTTTTGCATAATTTCATATAAGCATTCAGGCATATCTTTCCGCTGCAAGAGCGATCATTCCAGCAATCTTTTAATGATGCGCAGTTACTAATGATAATCCACTTCATGCATCGATTGTTTCTCATTCTTGCCAAATGGCCAGCCCAACTCTTCTTTTGTCTTATACTGCCTCGGAACCGCAGTGCTTGTTGAAGATGTGCCACAACTTGCTAACACTGCCACTTTTATATTCAAACACGCTGTAATTAATTGCTAGGAGTTAGGGTCGTATTTTTTAGAATAACAAGCTGTTGAAATAGTTTGACTTTGCAGGTCGTGTCGACAGATTTCACGGGCGATACGCACTCATCCATTTTTGATGCAAAAGCGTGCATTTCGCTCAATCCAAATTTCGTTAAGCTGATTGCGTGGTACGACAATGAGTATGGCTATAGCAACCGCGTCGTCGACCTCATCTCCTATATCGCTACCAAATAAGCTGCTACACCCTAGACTCCCCCCATCCTCCTCTCCCTCCCCCTGCCATCTTCGTGCCCCGTACCACTCTAAGACGCGTTACGATTTTTTAGCCTTTTTTTATCGGTTTTTTTGGCCAGGCATACCGTTGTGTCGCATTATCCTGAAGTATCCTGCGGAAGCCGCAGCTTTTTTTTTATGTCGATGCGTAATAAATAATTGCTGTTGTAACGTGCTTTACCGCTGAATGAACAAAATGATGATTTTGAGAATGCAGGCCCATTTCAGTGTGTTCAAATGAACGGATATTAATTAACTAAACGTGGTTTTTATGTTTTTTTGCCGTGCAGCGCTACAGCGCTGCAACAGGCAGCAAAAACGCGTATTGCAACGACCCTGTCAGTGTGTGTGTGTATGTTTGTTTGTGTGTGTGTGTTCGTCTGTCCGGTTATTTCAACTCGCTAACCACGCAAGCTTTGAAGCTGAAATTTTGCCAGTGTGTTCCCTAGCCAGGT